TAATAATACACTTGTGTATAGTAATTATATTGTACTCTCTCTCTCGCTCTCTCTCTATATATATATATATAGTCTGTTCCTGTTTCCATTGACACCGCGAACCATGCAGCTTCTTTTTTTATTTGATTTTTATAATCTTTTAAAGATGTATTATATAAAATAGGACTAAAATTAGTGCTTCCTCCATTTTTGAATTTCTGCAGAGAGGTCACGCAGTGACGTATCGATCTTCTACTGGTCACACGTCTTCACCTGATGCGAATTCTCAGGTCAGAGTTCACCAAACTTGAACTTTGGAACGCAGCGAAATGCTACATTTTTCGCATGAGCTTGCGTATGAATGGAAGTCAATGGAACGAAAAGTTCAATGTGACCGCCCCTTTAGCCAGGAATGCTAAGCACCAGAGTTGCCACGTCCGCGTATTATACCGCGACCCGGGATTTTTTCACGCAACTTTACAAAAATAGAAGCCCAAAGTCGCGTAAAAAAATCCCGGGTCGCGGTTTTTTGGGCTTATTTAAAAAAATATGGTAGCTTGTTAGGAAACTTTGACAAGCAACTTTGTTTCTTTTCATTTATGTTCGCTGTATTCTCCAATGCATTGATGGACACTTCTCCTTTGTTGTTGGTGCCCTGATTTGAGGAACAATTTGTTCTTGCTCTCAAATGTGTTTTGTATATATGTAGAGTTTTAGAGTTTGATTTCTGTCAGGGGTTAACACTAAACACGTGTTGATTGTATGTTTGTTTAAATGCAGAGGGCTCTTGTATGAGAGAGGAAACAGCACAGATATAAACAGGGGCTAATTGTCTTCATCCAACCATCTACTCATCTTATTCTATGATCAACAAACGGATGAATTGTTTGCTGATTCAGATTCTTCCTTGTTTCATTTAAGGACTGCTGGTCTCATATTTACCACTTTAAAGACTGATTTCACAGAGACAAAATGCTACTTGTGGTCTGAACTGATGGACTTGGTGGACTTGATGTTTCCTCAACTCTGGAAGACTTTATATGCTAATGTAACTTGTTGATGTGAATGTGTGGCTCGCAGCATGTCTTTAATACACATGGCTCACTGAAATGGCTCTCTGTGGTCCCTCGATTTTTATGTGGCATCAAAAAGTTAGGTGTTACAACATTAGAGTAGGAAATTGGTCTTGGACTCAAAGCTGCAGTGATACAAAACAACCACATTTTTATTTTTACTTTTTTAAACGAGTTATTAATGACAGAATTTTCATTTTTGGGTGAACTATCCCTTTAATGAACTATGAGGGCAAAAAAATAAATAAAAAAATCGTTCAATAATCGTGATCAAGGTAAAGTGTTGAACCGAGGTTTTGATTTCGGGTCACATCTCGCAGCCGTAGTAAGAGCAGGAGATGTGTTCAGAGACTGACCTGCGGATGAGCGGTCCTCTGTGAAGCTCAGGTGCTCCTCCAGCATCTTCAGCCCGTCGCTGCTGCACAGATCGATGAAGCAGCCGAGGAAAGCCCAGTGTTCGGCCCACGGCAGTCCCATCTCACGAGCCAGCTCTCTGCGTAGTAAGGTTTCACAAAATAAAACAGAGCAAATAAAGTGTAATGATATTAATAAACACAGTATTCTTCCACCAAACAATGTAGCTCCTCAGAAACAGTTGTGGTTGCTACAAAGTGGTTGCCGAGCAACACACAAACGTAAACAAAGGTGTGTGTTACTTTGTAGCGTCATTTACAACAGCTTCGAAGCAGCTCAGCCAATCAGAATCAAGCACCGGAACTCTC